TTTTTAATATAATTTTTTTATATAATTCAAATGTTGTCCTTTACACTCATTTTATTCAATATAGCCTGCATTCTAACCTCTACAACTGAGCCATTTTTAAAACAATTAAACAACCAAAGAGTTGAAAAAGCCGCAAAACAGATGAAGAAGCTAATAGTTAGAGCTTATCTGAAGGACAAAATTAACACTTGATATCCACTTCTCTAAAACAGTCGTTAATTTCTGTATCAAAGATATAAATGTATCAAAAAGAGCATTTGGCCAATTTTAGTGAATTTAGAAGTCCTTTAAATCCAAATCTATTAAGGATCTTCGGCTCATAAAAGGTTTTCTAGTATCTTTCAGGAGCCGCATCAAATGTGGGAATAACGTAGAACGTCGATTTCGGGCAAAAAAAAAGTTTTCAATATCGACGAAAATTTTCCAGTCCTCGAAAGATTATATAATAACTAATATTTGCTCAAATTTGAATACAACACTAGCATGGGTTTGTCTCTCTTCCCTCTTCTTTGCTTCAATGCCAAAATTAGCAGATAAACGTATGCTCGCTACGGCAAATAGTCCGCGTATTTTTTTCGCAATTTAGACGCACCGGCATATACACATATATAAGGACAAAAGTCTCTTGATAATTGGGAAGTCTTCAAAAAATAAATTCGCTATTAATTATTGCAATAATATTTGGACCTTATGCTACTTCAGCAGATGCACAGTTTCAACTACTAAGAAATCTTTAGCTCATCTTCTATATATATATATATATATATATATATATATAATCTAAATGTTCGTACCTCTAAAGCGTTGAGCGTCACGCAAGATTCGCTCCGGGATGTGACGTTAGCGTTGTTCGTCGTCGACCCACTATTCGACAGCTGACTACTTCCGATTCCGGTCGTCTCGATACTATTACTGTCGATAGCCCTCAACGAATCGGATGTCTCCGAAGTGCTCAGCGATCCCTGAACACCTATGAGATTGCACTTGCTCATGCTGCCACTGCCATCGTTCGTGACGCTCACATTGGCCATAACGTCGAGATCTCTTCGATGACTCTCGTCATCGCCTTCGTCGTCGACGTCAACCGATTCCTCATCCTCACTTTCACTGACACTCTCATAGCCCTGCTCCGAAAACGACGAAGATACGTGCTCTGTCGAGAATTTGAACGTGTTGGTCTCGCCTAATTTTGTTACGCAGTAGAATCAGATAGACACAGTTAAGAAGACAAAGACAGTTTAGTTCGTGGGCATCATAAATACTGGCTAAAAGATACACAGACGGATAGTAAGAAATCCTATTGACTTAATTGTAACTAGCGATTTTTACTGCGGGCTCCGTATAAACATTTTCAAAGTTAACAAACATGAGATTCTGTGTATGCTTGAAATAAGCTACGGCAGTAGACGGTTTGTGGCCAAGTAATTATCAGTTATACTCGAAACTACATTCAAATGTTCGAACCGGAAATAATTATTGTCTTGTTTTTTTCTTTTCTCTTCAGGAACGGTAAAGTTTACGAGAATAAAGAATGAGAGCATAATTTGTCGATGGTTCCAAGTTTCCATTTTCGAAATTTGGACGCGAAAATGTTTTCTCGATAGAATCGAGGTTCGAAATCGATCTCAGCTGGTAGATTTCCTAGACCAAAAAAAAAATCACTATCTTTTAACTTAATCTTTCCCTAAACTTTAGCTATGACTATATTGAAATTATTATATATTCTTTTTTGTTGTGTTTTTTTTTTATTAATTATAGGTTCATTAGTTGATAATTTGAATGCACTTGGCAATACCCACACGCTTAATAGTATTCCATGAGATATCAGAAACGTTCTAAGTTAAATTTTAAGGCATCTCATTTTGATTTTTTCGATCACGAAATTCAACGACAATTATGTAAAGTTTGGCAAACACCATAACAGCGTAGTAATTTGACTTATGAATAATAGCAAACACGCCTTTAACTCAGGACTATCTTAAAAAACAAGACAGGTAAATCTGCTTCTCAACAACTGAAAAGTTCTGTAAACTGAAAAAGTAATGTATTACGTCTAAAACAAATATTTATGGCCTTTTGACGCGATCATTTACGGAGCATTTGAAAATCTAGAGCAGAGGATTCGTTCCTCACAGAACTTTAAATTTCTCCAGAAATATTTTACAGTGTGAAAAAAAAACTTAAGTAACCCAGTTGATTTATAGCAAATTCAACTTTGTTTAATTTCAGGAAGATTAGCTCAAGGAGAACAAGTGCCCAGAAAGACTATAAACTCGAAGAATACGGTGGACTACTCCAGACCGAGGGCAAGCAAGTAAAAAGGAAAGAAGCAAGAGATATGTACAAGAAGGATTACCTTGCACAATTTTTTTCAAAAATTTCCGAAAAAGTCTGAAAACAATAGTGGAAAACCGCTAGCAGAAACGCACACAGCAATAAAAAAAAATTGCACAAACACGCAAAGCAGCCCAACAGTTAACTTTATTTCGTGCGGACGTAAAAAAAAAACCTCGTTAATCCACATAAACTGATTTCTGGCCATATTTTAGTATCACGAGAAAAAACTTCAAGGTATTTTCAATTACAAGCACTCACCACAGTATTGGAATCTGCTCCTGGACGTGCTACTAAAGTGGTACGAAGAGCTCATATTTGCTTCGAAACCTGTCGACATTCGTTGGCAGCCAGGCAATTTTGACCCCTCTGATGGTAGAGGCGGGAAGCGCGGGAACTCAGACAAAGGGCGCTTCAAGATTGCAGCCCTTAGCTGTGGCTCTGATGAAGCCGTTAGACCCAATCCGACGTTATCAGGATGGCGGAGCGCGTCCGGCGGAACGTTGTTATCGCCGTTTAACTCAATGATCGTTTTGAACTCGGGATGCGTTCCTGAAGTTCGAATCTGCGACTCCGTTCGGTGGACCGTCGACATCTAGATACGAAATCGGAATGATTATACGCGGCTCCGTTAAGCCCGGTGAATGAATGTTGCGCATTTGTGAAAAAAAAAAAACATATAAATAAGAAAAAAATGACTTCGTTTAGGGAAAATGAATTGTCCACAAGGTTGCTTGAGTTACAGGCAACAGCTATGCAGAGATTCCGTCATCGTTTAACTTGACCGCATTAACTACTTAATAAGTACTGTGCACGACTTCTTTTGAATTCTCTAATTAAGCTCGATAAAAAATTAAATGCCCCACTGTTAAAGATGAAACTTCTAGAAACATATAAAATGATAAGAGGAATCATTCCAAGGAGGAATCATTCTCGGGTGAGTAAGCCCATCGGTAACTTGCATCTCACCATCTTTCGTCATGGTACAAAAAGAACCAAATCATGTTTTTCGTGCCAACAAATTGAACTTTTGCTGGCATCATTCTCATTCTATCGTAAAGTGAATATTGTGTGTGCAGGACATAATATTGTTTCCCTTCATTATTATAGTAATGTTTGTACATGCTAGTGTATTTTTGGTCTATTTATTTCTATTCTACGAATAGTAAAAAAAACCGCCGTGACTTGAAGAGTATGGATAGAATTACTCCAAGAAGATACCGTTCGAAGCAAAAGTAACAAATTAAGCCGTAGTCTCGGTAAGGACGAAGGGCTTAGAAAGGCATAGGCTACGCGAGGTCGGCAACACCAATTTACGTTAAACGGAAACAAAAGCTTTGAATTGCGTATGTCGAAACATGCTATCATCTTACTTAATTGAAATGAAGTAACATCGTAATGGTTGGTCTTAAATAAGCTGAGAAGCAACATCACATAATTTGTTAGTATTTGGCTAACTCGGTGGTACTCGCAGTGTCTCACGGCTTCCTGCATTCAAGTTCTTCAGGCGATGAAATGCGCGCGCTCGACTTCACACGCAGTTTGCACTGAATTAGCCATTGAACTTTCTAATACGTTGTACCATCCCTCCTAGATCTAACCCGGCTATCTAGGAAGTCACAATATGTTTTTGAAGGCTAGTTTGTAATGTCAATGATTTTGTACAACCCATTTTCTCCGTGTGATATTTCGAAAAACTTTACTTTTTTTTTTCTATTATTTCTTTGTCAAGCCCTGTAACTTCGTTACTTCTCAAGGGCTACTAAGTACTGGGTGTTTTGGCAGTGATGCAGTCGCAATAACCTCATTTATGTCGTAAGTTTCAAATGGCATTGAATAAACACGACAGCTTTATCTTAGTAAGCCTTGTTCTCTCCAACAGCCCTTGGCAAATTCATGCGGCCACCCAGATTGACTAAGTAAGTAATATAATTTTAATTAAATTGAACACTTGTGACTTATTTGTGTGATTATTTCGTTCTTTTGTTAGAAAGAAGATTGGTGAAGTTAGAATTTGGAGGATACATTGAACATATAAAGTCAGTGGTAACAATATTCGTTTTATATCTTATACTATATTTTAGTAATATGTCATGTCGTCGGCCGCGATCACTGGTTCGGGCCCCATCAATGATACGTACTTCACGACAGCTGTGGTTAATAATGAAATAGTAACATAGAAGCATGATAATCATCAACGGCCGTCAGTCTTCTCACGGCTCATTCTGTACCAACTATACCCCACAAGACGCATTTGTGGTGACATAACTCTTTAATTGTGTTATACTTCAATAACAACGATTTGTCCGAAAAACTCTCCTAGTCGGGGAAATATGGCCCCACATTAAACCCAGTTAAAACAATGCAGTGAGAGATTTACGCTGCCCAATGCCTGCAAGCGTTTTATAGGCCGACAATGATTTTTCCAATTGACATTTTGGCATTAAACGAGGCAGGTTGTTTCAATGGCGTTAATGACTAAAACTGTGAATTTGCTTAATCAAGCGATTATACGTTGATTGGCAATTACAAATATAAACTATATGATGTACTATAATAAATATGCCTACGTATCATGGCATGAACCGAGAACAATATACTGTATCGTAGACTAACCTAATCCATGGGTCCTAGCCCTGAAAAAACATATTGAAAAACGGAAAGAAGATTCTTTTCTTCCTAACGAAAAACGGTAGTCTCAATAGGTTATATTAAATTAATAATGTTTAGCGTACGCAATTCCTTGTAGAAACTTCTATGATTAAATCTAATGTCTCTTCGTTTTCTCGAAAGTCTTATCCAGTAAGCGAAACAGAAGAAATCATAATCACATCGAGAAATACGGATACTCATCCTTGCACCATCTGAACTCATCGTTTTTATTAAAATCACTGGCAAATAGTCGCAAAAACCCTGCAAAAATGGGTATTATGCTAATTTGGTCAAAAAATGAGCTGATTTCAAATAGACATGGTTGCTACTTTAACGGTAGGTTTGTTTAACCTTTTTCCACTGTGAACCTTTATTTTTTTAGTCTCATTTCGGGGGATGCTGAAAGCCCCGGCAAATGACTGTGATTACAACCTCTTTGTGCACGCATCGCACGGACAGATGGGCATCTAAGTGTGGCGTACCTTATGGACGTTGTGCGAATGATTGTCCTGAGAGCTCGATTTGACTATGTGAAGTTGTCGCTGGGAAGCACTGGAGGAGCTGGACGGTCCTACGGTGGTCGGTGACGGCGCACTTGATGCTGGAGAGACTGAAAGTGTTGATTTGGCCGTATTGCTTCCACCGCTGCTCGTGCAACCGATGCTGTCTTTGCTTTTCGAATGGACAATAGCCGACGTAGACTTTGAAGTTGCTTGGAAACTCGTCGTCGATGAACACCCTCCAGTTGATGAAGACATGCTGCCATGCTGCTGGATCTCCTGTTCAGTAAACACCCCGCTATCTCGATCGACTAAGCGTTTGCTGCTAGAACACCGAGTCTCCAGAAACCTGAAATTGAACCGATACAGAAGTTCAATAAAATGGCCATATGGAAATTCAATGGTGTTTGTGTTCGGTATAAAGAGTATCTATAATAATATAAGTCAAATGAAAATCCTATTGCTGGCCAAGATAGTAAGTACTTAGGGCACGCAATCCATTTATCGATAATTAAAAATAAGTAATAATACGTTTTTATATAGTTCTAAGCGAAAAATTAATTTTATGAGACACATAAGCATCTTGGTGTAACAAGCATACGCTCGTTTTTACGATGCAAGAGACCCGACCTTTTCTTGCAAGTTTTAATTAATAAGATTAGTTAGTTGTCTTAAGTGCGTATAACACAACGATTCGATGACGTAAACTAAAAATAGATATTCACCTGAAAAAGATATGGATTTTCTTTTGATTTTGCACATCCATCAAGCCCATTCTATTGCCGTAGTTAAGAATTACTTCCGACGACTGACTGCCCCTTCAAGCGCGACTCAAACCGTCGGTCTTATATATGGTCTTGAATCTTATATCGTGTTTCAGATTCTATGAGAAAAAACACAGCCTTATTGCTCTCCTGGCGATTCGCCGTATAACTATTTCCGAACCATGTTTATATTGTCTTTTTTAATTCACTACTTGGATGGGTCAAATGCACTGTTTATCCACCTGCCAGTTGCCCTAGGTAGTCATTGACGTTGAGAAGCGTACCCTCGTTCACGGCTGAGATTTCCCATTCTTGGCGGCGTGTTTGTTGAACTCTCGTAGCGCCTCTCCGAACGACACAGTTCAGTGGCATTAGGTTCGAGCTGAATAGGTGTCTACACATGCTCTGCACGAAGGTTTAACATATTTCAGTCTTAGCACGAGTGATATATTCCGGCTAGCTATTATCACCCCTTGCCAACTGATCGGGTCCTGAGTAATGAATAATTGCTGTTTGCAAAAAAAAAAAGCAAGGTTCTACACGAAAGTTGCGTGGACCTGACGTATTCAAGGACATATTATGAATGATGCACAGCTCGTGTTGACCCTAGTGGGGATCGGCATTGGGTTTGTTCGGAGATTTTTGCACGTTTTAAACTATTATGAGCGGAAGGTATTGGGCGAGAAAGAGGAAACGGAAGGATATCATCCTAAATGTAAGATAAACTCTAGTTGGTGGATTAAGCGGATTTTAGAGCAATACGTGACGAAGTATTGTTTTATTGATTCGTCTAAAGAACAACGATCAGAAGCACTTAGATCTGTCCAAAGTTCCTGCTGGTAGGATTACAAGGTTTTCGGGTGAAATTAATATCTTGCCTTGAACGTCGAGACTCTAGCCGTTAAATGTTGCTCAAAATGGTTAACTTCCGTTATGCATGAAACAAACCGTGGGTTTACGCCCGGATCCGAACCTGGACTCTCACCTCATTGACTGATCCTAAGCTTACCAGGCCCACAATTCACCAACACGACATCACCGGAGCGAGATCCATGAATGTTATCTGCAGTCCAATTGTTCCGACGAACCGCGTCATGTAGATTACACCTCAGCAAGGATTATTGCTTTAGCTAGTGCTGGTTTGGTCGACTTTGGTTGAATAGATATTTTTACCGGTAAGTGTAGAGAGTGCTACCTTATGATGTCGAACTGCCAATATGGCCTATACTACGCTGTGCTGTTTGATTGATGTACCATACAGAATCGTTAAGATGCTTGATGCAACGGCTGTTTGTAGTTACTGAAGTTGATTTCAAATAAATAAAGATTGCCGAGCTGTTCAAGTTTTTAGAAATAACAATATATTTATCTTATATATGGTATATTATTTTATAAATAACGACCCAGTTTAATTTTCGAAACGAGCGTTTAAGATGGAAGCTATCGTCTAAGTGACGTTTTTCATTATCCATACGCTTTCCCGTATGGATGTAATTGTAAATTAGTTAACGAATTCGTGATAATTATCGTTACCACATTTTTTATCTATAGTACATTCGTAGTATTAACGTAGCAGTATTTATTGTCACTTTTATCCGGAACCCAGCTTCCACATGTATAATGTTCTTCCCCGTTTTAATTTCGGCTCAATTTACCTACTATTGTGTATGTTTTTACTTTTCATCATCCAGTCAGGTCCTGTATATATCATTATACACATACATATTTACAAAAACATATGTTCTGCACATATAATAGTAGTAAATAATTTTAGATATGAAATGTCGAACCTCCTCAGTTTAAACATTTACTGTACAAGTAACTTGCTTTAGAACGCAATAATCTTCGATGTTTAGCATAATGCCACGTATGCGTTAAAGATAATGATTTGAGCCGCATCGTCCTACATCTGTGAAGATCAATTCTAAATCTATGACACTTCCAATTCGTTCCTGTGAGAATGCGAGACCAGTGACTTTGTCCGCAATGGCGTCCCAAGGCCGCTTGTTGAGGATACTTGCAACACGAAGTGCTACCAACAGAACAAAGGATGACAAAGTTTACATCAGCGCCTACCGCAGGACGCATATAAGAACAGGGAGTAGCTCTGGAAGATTATCAGTCTTTGATGGCATGTTTATTACTACAAAGTTGGTGATGTTACGCGCTCAAGCTCTACGTACAATATCACCAGAGCTAAGGCCTGGATCGTCAGCTTCAAACTTTAATCGGAGCTAATAAAAGGGTATAAGTGGACAATGGTAACGGTCATTCTTCGTACCACTAATGGTGTTTCTAATGAATGGCCGTGATTTTTTTTTGTAGAGTTACGTATGTCGACTGAAGTATTGACTTAAATTGTCAACTCAGCCCTACGTTGCCGCCTAACGCTGTCGATCCATGATGGCGGCAACTTGATGCCGTATCGGAATATGAAAAATAAGACGATACTGTGAGAAGCCTTGATTGTATTATGCCCGGCAGGGCAAAAATCTCTTCATAGCTTAAAAAGCATCTCTTTACAGTTTAAGAAAAATGTCTTAAATTGGACTTTTGTTTTAAGCTGTCTAAAGGTGTTTGCCTCACTCGGCATATTGGAAAAGAACGGTGCACCTCTTTAGCCTGGGGTGTTGATCGGTCTTCAAATCACATTAAATAATACTATAGCCAATACTAAATACGTGCACCTTCCCTACGTTCAATGGATTCCTTATGTTGGCTTACGCACGGAAGCTGCATGCGTAGGGCCGAGAAGGAGAAACCGCGGTTTTCTTAGTGATAAAATACCGAAATAAAGCGAGAGATTCCATTAGGTATTTTCTTTTTTTTTGTGGCGGTTGTTTATTATTAACAAATTTTGTACAGTACGTGTGCACGAACGGAGACAGCTTTGTCGTCCTTCAAATAGTCTTCACGTTTTTAGATGATACCACAAACAAATAGGACGGGAAGGATGAATAACTATGGTAGTAGTAAAGCGATGAGGCTCAAATGAAGCTTGCACGCCAATGAGCACCCCCAAATATATCCACATATTCCTGTACAACGAAATATTCGAAAGCAGTACATTCTATACATAAAAACATCAGGAAAAACTTGAACGAGTGCTGTAACGGATTGACGGTGATGCCCCCAACTATAGGCGCCGCTATAAGTAGGACTAGGGTAAATAATAGCAAAATAACCATACGGCTAACAGCATGTCTGGCTCACATCTTCTTTAGTTAAAACCATAGTTAGTTAGAAATATGTTAGGAAGAGAAAGAAGAGCTAGCTAGTTAAAACAGGTTTCTGTTACCTGTTAAATGACTCGCGATTCCTCTGGAGGAAATCGGCGAACTCTTCAGTGCCTGATTCAGAACATTTCGCTGAGGCTTCCTCAAAAAACTTGCCTAGTTGCCCCGACGAGCTCCATGGACTTGCGTCTTCGTCCAAAACACTGCCGCCCGACCTGAAAGTGAACGAGAATCGTGTCAAGATAAGCCTGCTTTTTTCGGAAGGAAGATTTGCCCTTCCATATGGTAAGTGTGAAAAGGCCCATAATTGGCTTCTAATGTCCTTAATCACATTGGCATTTCTAAACTCATTTAACATCTATTGTTGGTACATCAACAAGCAATCCCTAGCCAAAAGCCATCATTAGTTCTGCAATTTTACATTATGTGCCGCATAGTGAAAGTGTTTTTTTTTTAGTAAATCAGCTAACTGCCTCTGGCATTCAATTAGCCTATGTGCATATCCCTGTAAAACATGATCCTTCTAAAACCCAATGCAGCCTATATTGGACTGTACTATATAGTCCGCGCATATATACTGTGACCTGTTAGAGCACTCCACACAGTTGCCACATATTTTCTTGCTTATAGAATTTCATTAAACGCTTACACTATAACGAAATGCATTTTTCTATTTTTTGTTTGGAACCCACCATTATTACATACACTGTACGCTTAGTACAGGTGATACTTCGAAAAATTCGATACACATGTTTACGGATAAGAAAAATTCGGAACAGATTCGGATAAGAAAAACCTTCCCGTTTCGGACTATCTAATATTGGTGCTGGCACCATTGGACCCAGCTGTCCGGCTGCATTTTACCATTTCAACGCATAGATTTAGCATGAATTTTATTGGGACCAGGAATATAAAACCATTCTCGTATAGGATTAAATAAGTCAGATCCGTCGGAACACCAAGTACGTTTAACGTGGTTTCTGTCAGCCAAATATATTACTGCGTTTTAAGATTTCATTAGCAGTCTAAGGTATCACCATTAGCTGGAGCCGACATTGGACACTCACCACCCTCCACAATGATTTTAAAACGAATGCCGGCTGAAGCTAGTTTTGATAACGTCACCAAGCACGTCGGTCAGAGAATAGACAGAAAAAGAATTGGCTGAAAAATAGGGGCGTACCGCGCGCAAAACGCTGAGCATCAGTAGTAACCTTAGCGTTTGGGGTTTGGTAGGACAATCAGAGAACAACTTACAACGGCACTACGACGCGTTTCGTGATCTTACATAGTCAGTTGTTTCTTGTACAACCCTCCACTTCCTAGCCTGCTTCCTGCGTGAAAACGCATAAGAAATTATGTTTTCCTTAGCTCTTTTTTAGCGTAAGGCAGCATGAGAGCACAATGCTGAGTTGTTATATCACCGGCCCGTCGGTAAATATCACCGTTAATCATTGATTGGTTAAAGAAATGAGATTGGAAAGCGCCTTGTTTTTAATATTGACTACACTTAAAAATTACAGTCTTATATATATACGGTCGCCTTGGCTGTCTTTATTTACTCGAATAGAGACGATCCGATCTCTTTAAATCTATGCGAATGTCTTATTCAGACACTGACTGAGAAATAGCAAGGTTACTGTGGCTATGTTTTGGTTAAGCCTTTTGCACAATTATTTTTCTGAAAACTCAGGTATCATTATTAACTAATACACTAATTGTAAAATACAATTTTTTCGAAGTTATCTAACGTAAAATATATTATAAATACTTCATTGACTAACCCAATTAGTCTTGGACTTCTGTAAACAACAGACTTATTGAACATGCTATACATATACACGACGAGCGGAAGTTTAGCGAAAAGCATAATATTTTCTATTGATTATTAACAACAAACCAACTTATAGAATACGCATAATATATATGTTAATAGTTGTTATTAGTAAGCACTATGATGTACTTACATTGACCGATTTTCTCGTATCCTTTATATCAATCATTGCAACCTCAAGTAACAACCAATCAATAGTAAATTGACTATCTGTTTGTCTATTTGATCGAACTTCTTTTAGTATATGTCGTTGGCGAGGCCTGAATCAAAAAGAATCAATTGATAAACAAATAGCCATCAAGGAAAAAAGCACTATATCATAATTTTTGTTCTTAAGGTTAAGCAAAACAAAAACTGACAGCTCTGATGGAAGCTAAATTATCTGATACAAGCAGCTACGGCAAGCGCAATCATCGGCCAACTTGCAATAGACCGTTCCCGGTGTTGCCGTCCGGCGCAAAGTGCGCCCATCAATAATATATCATGCTAGGACAGAGTCCTTGACCGATCTTTCTGTCTCGTCACCAATAGTTCTGGGCTGCAAAAGGACTGACATCAGTCGCCGGACGGTGAAGAATCGTGCGGTATAAGGCCAAAAAAATTTTGAGTTGTTTTCTGCTCGGTTATGTCTCGTTGCGAACTCTCTCCTCCCTCTACTTGCGCCTTCCGACAGCTTTGTTGCTTTATGTACAACGTCGTACTGAATAAGCACACGGTCGTTTTATTGTGCATGTCATAAAGGCCGGAATGACAGTGAATGCGAGAGAAAAATGTTTCCGTTACTGCGCTTAGCAGCATTGGTACAGAACAGAGACAAGATGTTTCTGTTTATTGCTCATTTGCTTGTCGCTTAACGTTTGACGTTCGTTCCGCCTATGGTACAGCGACATTTTAATGGTAAATACCTACGGACATGTGGCTGCTATACATGAAGGACACGCAAGCTTTTAACGTTCGTCAAGGTGCATGGATGCCGGCAAGCGGACATGTTGGTGGTATTTTACCAAGAGTCTTTAGGAACAACGGAGGAGGGAAGACGAAGCCAAACGAGATAGGGCAATCTATTGCTTAATTTGATATGAATGTACGCCTGTGATTAAAAATGATAAACGACCAATCAGTGAGTAAATCGGTCTGATTTTTACTTCAACACTTATGCTACGTTCGGTAATTTTTCGTTATCTTTTTTTTGTTATCTATTTTCGTCCAATATATTTCGGAGCGTCTGATATTAAGAAATCACTACAGCTGTTGCAAGAACTGTCTGTATGTAATAAGTACATGTGATAACATCTGCCCGTGTTTATGGCGGTGCCCTCGTAACGCGATTGCCTCCTAAATCTAGGCGACCTCACGCCTAGAGGTATGCAAGGTGGTCTGAGTTTGAAGTCGACCTACAATACTACGTGAATGTCTTAGAAGTAAAGTCTGGTTGGCATATTATACTAGCCCTTAATCTCCTTTAAAAAAGTTTGAAACCACAAATACAGCCCGTTTTGGGTTGAACGGGAAAGGGCAGCCGTCTGAAGCAAAACAAGTACCGGTTAGGTAAAACTCTTAGCATGTGTTTTTATCATGATCTGCCCACCTGAACCACTCCTGGGTATCCTTGACTTGTTTCTTAAAGCTTTCCTGCCGCTCCATTGTCTCAAAAGCGAATACTTCAATCTCGATTTCTTGTGCGGATGATTTTCTTTTGTCTTTATTTCTATATTGTTTTCCAACAAGTGTTATGGGCCTCCCATCAACGGTGACGATCAACTCGTCAAAAGAAAGATCGTGTTTGTCTCCACGAACGGCTTTTCGGCGAGCTCTAAGCTCGTCCTCAATTTCCTGAAGTAACAAATGCTGCTGTTCTCCTAACACTACTCGAGAACGGCTGCTACTCCTGAGTTCGACGGTCCCTCTACGAAATTGACTATCGCCATCCAACCATTGTCGGCGATTTTTTTTATTCCCTACAAAAGCTTTACAAGTGGCTTCAGTACTAAGCTCCGAAGGAGTTCCAATTGAATCCTTTAACGTTGTGCCCTCCTCGACGTCTCCGATTCCCCTTGAATGTCCATCGGGGTCAGTCGCGATCTCGAAGGGATCATCAGATACCCCTAGGACTAGCCGGCTATTGGTGCGATTCGCGAGGATCTCTTCAAGTTCAGATGAGGATTCGCTTCTTGACGGACTCGTATCTTCTACTGAATGAGAGCGTGGCTTTACTTTTCGGAAAGCAACAAGCTGTAAAGATCCTGTATCGTTGATTGACGGAACGGTGCCACGTTGCAGTGACCTAAAGAGGAAAGAAAGTCAACAAACGCAACGACATAGGGAAATGTTAGTCAGCGTACCATATATATACTAGCAGCTTCATCCATACATCGACAATATCGGAGATTTTGTTAAATGGCGTTCAATGCATCGCTCGCCTAGCACGACAGGCTCTTGTGCCGCGAAAAGATCACCTTGCCATTTAGGGAAATTTGTATAAAGCAGGTCAACTCTGGCAAATTTTTATAGAATCGTGGTCCAGGTAGACAATTTCAGACGGCGTTCCCTTTAAAGTGAGGCGCCAGTTAGGTGTGGGTTATCTCAGATATAAATTGAGTGACTATTTGTAATTCGTTGAACTAACTCTAGCCACTTGTCTATTACTCGAAAGTATTAAGCTATTAAGAGAATATATTATGCTATATTAAATTTTTACTGAGAAAAGAGACCTTTCTAATGCATTGTATGTTCCAGTGAATGTATTATTAGCTCGCTTTAAAAATTGGGAAAAAGTCATAGGAAATTCCCGAAACCTTTTTGTTTCGTGCTTCATACGAAAACATCATGATATACCGTTCCTGTTGTTGATCCTGTGAGAATAAGCATTGAGATACGACGAACTCCGTCGCTTGAGCAATTTTTTGGTTATAACAATCCACTACACTCACGGAATATACTCTAGGGAAATTGAAACGCGGTAGAAGAGACGGCAAGGCGACAGACCACTGCTGCATTAGAGCTAATCGTATTACAGTTAAGAAAAATCTTCATATCACGGATTGCTCATCGTTATGTCATTGAATATAGAACAGTACTTAAGTCTAAAAGTATGGACAAAGGCTACGTAGGGTAAATACTAACTTGTCAAAAAAGTACCACAGCTTTTCTAGCTAGATACCTCAGGTAACAGAGGCTGCATTGGACCGACGTTGGCGTCATCTGATTGCTCTTATGCAGACTTAAGGTAAGACAGCCCATAGGTAGCCATTATATTGCCAACGAACTAACATCCACGACTAAACAGTTTTAGGCAATCTCAAGGAAAGCTAGGTACGAAAAGGCTCGATCCTTGGGCGCTACAGGAATTGACGTAAAATAATATACTCGATCATATTCCCATTTACGAATGATTGACCATATTTGACGATAATGTGCAAAGGAAAAAAAAGAAAAGTGAAAAATATGCTTTGTAATGTATAGCAAAGCCCAGACTGATGCCAAAGCTGGTGATGCTATGTGTTTGACGATATTGAAATAGAATTCGGCTTTACGAGTTTTAGCTGCTTGGCTAGATAATGCTAGACCACATAAATCTCTAGCTACATGGCGACAATAGGAAGAACCTTGATAAAAAAAAATATGAGGCATATGCCCTATAGCCCGGATCTTGTACTATCAGACTATCATCTTTCCCGGTCTTTGCAGGACTCATTATTATGTAACGGAAAGATGCAAAAATCATTTGTCACAATTTTTTCCCCCGAAGCCACAGGAGTGATACGGTCACTAGAAAGATGGCCAAAAATCATAACCAAATTGGGGCATATTTTGTTTAAAAGTATTATTTCTTGCAATATAAGAAATAATTGCTTTAATCTTGAACTAAGAACTGTTGACACTTTTCAACAACCCTGTATTTCGATCACTAGTCTTGATTCGTATTTACACATATGCTGTAAAAAGAGATTTTACCAAAGAAGTTAATTCTCGACGACCTACAAGGATCGACAGTGATCACTTGTTAGAAATCTTATGGAGAAATAACCTCTTTTCGTTCCTGGATGAATTATGGCCCTTTTGTGACAATATTGGTATTACAAAAACTAGCTTGAAATTGTTGTATATTTAAGTGCTATCGAGTCGCTACAACGTTTGCCATATTAAAGTACTACAGCAACATTGTTTTCAGGTATTTTGCTTTCGACATGCATAAATCTGTGTCGCATTCAATGACCATGAATGCCTTTCGTAAACGAAAGAGTCGAACTGGCCCGCTAGAAATAGTGGAGACCAGCATGAAAGCGTGAGTTATTGAGAAGTATCCCGACGAAGTCGGGAGCAAACAGGACGCACTTGATGATATGTGTCATGTCTACTTTCTTGTTAACAATTTTTCCCATAGGGACGACCACCGTTCCGGACTAAGAGGGTCGGTTATTCTCGTAGCCCTGCAGGTCACCAGCCTTACGTGTATTAGCTGCGATGAATCTACGATGACCCGTTACCTTGAAAGCATATACGAAAATGAATACGGGCAGAGTGTACAGGGGCAGCTTACTGGAAACGTGCAGGTACAAATACATTGCAACCCTCGCAATGTAAGGAGAACCGGGCACATAAAGAACTTCTAGTAAAAAAGGATTTCGATTATTTGCTTCCTGAGGTGCATCAGGTCTAGCTATGCTTAGCTTAAAAAAAGTATTATTGCAAAAGGTTCGTGTTTGCTCGTACATTGTATTCATTGCCGAAGCGCACATTCAAAGATACGGCAGAAACCATTATTTAATATATTTAAATGACGTTCATACGTTCAGTCCTCTTCTTCAGTGAAGCGGAAACACATATATGAAAATATTAGGACATGTTTAATAGTTTAGCGCAATATTATAAAATATTCAAAAATAATATGTGGGCATTAAATCAAACATATTTTTGAAATGTACTGAAAGGGCTCATTATTAGTTTCTTTCGTACCGTAACTATAATTACTTAGCAAACAATTAATATATTTCTATTATTCGTCTCTAACTGACAATTACCTCGATCTGCCGTTAAACTTGAATCTGATACCTCGTTGCCTGTTACGTTCGTTCCGCAGCAACAACTGTGACCCGAAAACGTTGTCTCTACAGCCACAGGCGTCCTCGTCTTCGTCGTTCAACCTCAACTGAAGTTGCTGTAGAAGTTCGAAGCTCTCTCGGTGTCGTCGGCGGCAAAGGCGCGAGGCGGTCCTGCGTACGGCAACGACATTACACGGTCGTGGTGCCACTAATCGTGGAACAAGATGGCATGTGGAGGACCTTGTCGATGCTGATATGAATAGCGGTGAATTCCTCACTGGGAAGGTTCCTTTCGTTTTAGTCAGTTTAGACGAACTTGTGGTTCCTTCTACGTTGTGTCCGACGGAGCCAGCAGCTCTCCTAATCAAAGGACTTCTCGTAGAGTTGCTGTTATACACTGATTTTGTTGCAGGAACACTGAGACATCTAAAAAGTGATTGTTTTCCTCTACGGCCGGAAGGATTATTGGCAGCGAAGACAGGGTCCTCTGCCACCGCAATACTTGGCGCCATCCGAGCCCCTAAAAAGATGCGCAAGGGGATAATTGTTATTAAAGCACAATAGAAATAACTTCTGTTTCGGAAGATAAATAATTCCACTAAAGTCTGCTTAATATTCACTCATGATACAATATTACAGTGTACTACCTATCGATGACCGATCATGCTAAGCAACAATAAAGCATATATATATATGCCTGATTGTACGACCAATGGTTTCCAATTTTGAAAAGTGTTTTTCTCCTATAATTGGTTGTACATTTGGCATATCTGCAACTTAATCGTTCACTTCGTAACGCTTGGATATTGAAAAATCAGCTCGACAGATGGCACGGCCAGATCTGTAAAGATCCCATCAGGGGGTCATCGTATACTTCATAAAATTCGTTCGCGCATTTCTAGCACTCCGCAGCGTAAACGCTAAATGTGATAGCAAAAGATCATAATTAGCGTTTGCGAGAAGGCTCGATTAGCCTGGAACATGAAGCACGATGCTTCATAGGCATTCGCCTTTTTTCAAATTTCAACGAACGAAAAAATAATGTTTGATTACGACAACTGTCGCTAAAAAGATCCGCAGGATTGATCTCAACGGAGCCTGACTGTAAAGGTTGCTTGGTATCTAAGGACAATGCACCTAGTGGGGTGATGAAAGCAAGCTATATAAGTGATTTTTGTAAGTAGGCTATGCGATAAAGACAACTTCTAGTAAGGTATTCAACAAGTAGTGTGAGAATCTTACTCACTAAATTCAGAACTTTGTAACCTTAGACCCAGACTCTAGAACTTGCATATTCAGATTAATTTTGGGCGATAGAATATTGAATGTTAAAAGGATACTAAGATGTATAAGTGATCTATAAGCATCATGGATACGATAAAGTGTCATTAGCACTGAAACTGTAAAGTTGTTCGACTTTTTTGTACTGCCATTGCCTGCTTTTGCGTATCGGTCGGCATCTTCTGCAATTAAACAACAAACATACTAGCCTTCTATTGAGCATACTATTGCCGGAATTTCACCTCCGATCTCTTATGTCCGTTCGTTTTTAGGCATCACTTTTTTTCTAGGGTGAAAGAGAGAACCAGTAGGAGCGCAGACGACGACAATTCAGGTCGCTTATTACAGCAGACGAATTTCCAGATGCTCTTGTCATTAATATCATTGTGCTGAGGGGGCATATCTACCTGTCTTATGATCTGGTCGGCAGCTACTGTAGCAGCAGAACTGAATCCTCGCGCGTCTAATGCCTGTATTGTTTTCCACATCTGTTGGCAACGGTTTTAAATACAGACGATGTAAATATAGAACAGCTAAAAGGATAAACGTAATGCAAACCTGTTTCCTTGACACACTAGCCACATAAAATATGCAAAGGAAATTATAATGTGGCAAGCATTGATGGCTCGCGTCCTGTATCCAACGTGCGAAGCAGTCGAAGGTGTCAAAGCGAAGTGTCAATATCAGCTTTGCCGTGCAGTTGCTGACAAATGTTTCGTCTGCTAAGGACAGACAGGTTCGTCTTTAAACGTCTATCCATCGTAGACGTGCCGTTAGCGCGTTCAGTTTAATTTGAATAGCCACTACGTTACTCCTTTGGGGGTCATTAGCGGCGTCCGCGTTGTGGATGACGTCGGGCGGTTTCTGTTTTGCCGATGTACCGGAACTAGTTAGTTTACTATTGTACCGTCCTTAAATCCAATCAAAAAAATGAACATTGCTGGTTGAAACAAACGATGGAGTTTAAATACGACATAAGGCCGCGATCAACTGGTACATGTGGTAGATGCCGACCTTGTTCTTCGTTTTACTATCTGTTCTACGTGTTCAGGTGTGGAACCTGGAAAAGACCATTCAACGAATAGGTGCAGTATGACGGTATGGTGCCGTTCTGCTGGAGTGTGTTAGGCACAGTGGTACAAGGAAATAATGTTATGTAAAAGAAACTGTGGCCTCGTGAAGACTCGCCAAACCTCACATTTCAATGTTACATTATATAATGAATTATAAACAATTTACTGCAACGTTACATAAATAGCTCTCAGTCCTTGTTAAGTTTTTGAATAAAGTGTTTGAATGAAAAAAAAATTTTAATAAAATGTCGTTTTTTATACGATTTAAGATTAAATAGAACGCGAAACATATTCAACAGGAAGGTTCTCTAGCTTTTAAGCTCCCACTGCATTGCTTTTCGAAATAGTCTGCAGAAGCTGTAGCAGCATTCAACTCAATCCATCAGCACTTCGTTTCGTATTCGGGATGCCTGGGCTGACCACCTTTTTGCCGAGTACTTGCAGAAGTATAGATAATAATACGATTATTAGTACATTACGCCGTTAAGGACCGTAAAGCCATATAAAACCTTTACACAGAACTCGACTACTCTATTATAACCCTTCGAGAATCATGCACACTTTCCGACTGCCAACACTCCCTAAACCCATTTAGCATTAAAGGGCAGTACAGGAAGCCGAAGAAAGTACAGAGTATACAGGCAACCGTACGTGGTTTGTATCTGGAATCGATTATTGCTCCTCCGGTTATTCACACGGCCGTATTGCGGGCCGTTAGCGGGGTCCAAACCAATTACCTCCACTGGCTTTTCTTAGCAAGAGTCTAATATGTTAGTATAGAAAAACCGTTTCCACGACTCCGACGTGGCACATATGTTCCTGTATACACACATGCAGATACTGGCCGCCCGCTCTTCCTCTTGCGCCTATGGAACACTATTTATTCGTAGATACCGACTAACGTCGAACGACAGCTGGTAGCGAGCCAAGGTCAAGTCTTTTTTCGTTGTCAACTTTTGACTGATCAACAACTTATAACAAAATAGGCAATTATCATATACACCTACGAAACTCGTTGGCAAGTACGATGCCAATAGTAACATTTTATAGGGCTTTGCTGAGGGACCCGCTGAATCATCATTTCAATGTTGTCCTACGGCCACAATAGTATCCTAATTAGATGCAGCTGAATGTTGATTTTGTGGAAAATTAGCCGAAAGTCAATAAATAATCACATATATAATAAATGATAAAATAAACTTTATATAAAATAAAATCCATCTCTAATGAATATGGGTAAAGACATTGTTCGTGCCACCATGTAGCGCTTAGTAGTTACTTTGCTAGTGTGGATCGTTATTTATCCTACAAAGTATACAAATGTATGTAATTCATAATGGTTATCCGTAACTTTCGCCACCGCTGTCGGTATTTGACAGCTCGTTAGCCAATACTTTGCCTCTAGCTTCGTAGTTAATAGCCTTTAACCTGTAGAATTTGCGATTGGCTAGGCAGCTTGCGATGCATTTTCGAGGGTTGTGTAAATTTTCTAATGTATAATCTACTACAGAATGTCAAATACTTCCGTGACATTCAGACGAACGTTAAGTTAGCGATGCTCTCTGACGGCCGATTGATCCTAGACGTGGCCTCCCCAACTAGGTGGAAGTAACGTTTAAGGTTTAAGGTCTAGTTAGTAAGTCTTCGCATGGCCGCACAGTGTTGACCTCTGCATACAATTGAAGATGCGTTAATGAGTGAACGATCGATTTTGCCAAGTGGACAGTATTTTCGTTTCAAATTAATCAGAACATAAATAATTCGACATACGCTAATTCTTATACGTCAGGCGTGGCGTACGCATCGAGAAAGCGTTTTTCAACTTTTATGTATAATAATGTCCGTTGGAGCAAATACGTGACAGACGTGAATAAAAATCATATAACGGACAAACATGCGGACGGCGTAAATATTTTGCTCACGCAAGCTTGCGTTCTCTACTTGTAAGCTTCCTTTTCTATGCAGTGGAAGGAGATTCTATCTTTGATGCATTTAATATTCTGTGTATGAAATAGAGTTGTATAGTATTGGTCCTCGCGAAAAACAGCTATCCTCACATCATACTGGGCTGTCATTATATGAGACGGAGCATCATTTGGTGCTACTGCGAACGCGGAACTGACAATGTCCGCTATGCGGAATCGCCATGCGCTATGGGTTTTCGAGACCAGAAAGCTGATTGGCGATTCCCGGCCAAACCGAATCTGATTAGTATGAGCTGACGTGAACACGTCGTGATGTGCAGAGATACGTAGCTAACGCCCGACCAGCTGGGTCCACCGCTACCAATCGCTAATGGCAATATGGCTGTGCTAACAATCACTCTAACTGTTCACCGTGCATAATTGGTCTACTGCAGATGATGGACTAGGTTCTTCGAGCTTCTTCGTCGACGTCCAGCGATCAATAGCATCGGTATTAAGATGGCCTTCATCTAAAGACGCATGAACGTGTCGGCTGTATAAATACTGTTCTAGGGATAGCACTGCCGTGAGTACTTGTTATTTTAACTCATTATATATAGATATAATCACTCCTATATGTAGACATATGCGTCTACTCGCTTCCCGTGTCGCCATCCAAGCTAGACCATGTTGGTGAGTCTACATTTAGCTAGCTAGAGCTGATCGGAGCAAGCAATATATGACTTAGGAAAAATTGTAGGGATTTGAAACGTCAAAATTACGCGAAATTTTACGAATATTAAGTTACGTAAAATTACTTATATATTATATTATGTATAAATGTATATGTATATATATATATATATATATATATATATATATTAGTTAGTATTTGCTTTGGCCCATTTAAACACAAGTAAAAATGGTTCGTGTTTAACCGTTGGGTGAAAAGGGTCATACGAAAACAGACTATGTAAGAACTTTCTTGGACATTTTTGATCATACCAGATCTGAAGAGAGCTTAGTAATGACCAAAAGTACCTATCAATAAATGACTGTAGCCAATGTCTTATATCACTACGACGTTAACAGCTCCACAGCCTCGGAGTGATTGAACAGTCATAAATTCGATCAGATGAAAGGCAGTATGATATTAAAAACTCTCTATAGCAATCGTTTTTACAACTACTAATCGTTCATTATTTTCGTGACTCTTTCGATCTCTAGCTCTTTCAATTCACGGTCGAAAGTGATGCTGGTGAAGGCGCGCGCTTCCGTTGAAACGTCGACTTATTCTATACATTTGGGCCTGTGCGTTTCATCTGAAAGCCTCACTCTGCGAATGTGAGCCTATTTCTGAAGCTGTACACTCAGATCCTTAATAACCGTTCGTAAACAGACAATATCCAGATGCGAGAGGCACAATCAGACGTATGTACTTGGACCCACAGCATTTTCCGATCATTTGGGCAAATGCATAATAAGAGTTGAGATCACGACGGTAAGCGTATTAGCTAACAGATTCTGTTAAATGTTAATGGGTCCACGTGTATCGAACACTGATATCGCCTGTACTTGTTATACCGCCGTAGATATTTCTACAAGATAAATTTGCGCACGGCCTCCCTGTGAATGTAAATAGTATTAATGGAGTAAATAAAAATCACAGTCTATGCTATTTAGGTATTTATTTATTCTTTTTAATCTAAGATCTACTTGAACGATATTAAGATCCTATTTAAAACATCCGATTTAAGCCAATATTTGTTAGCACATTTAACAACCAGATACAATTGAATTTAATTCTGCTTACATCGGTAGTTTGTATGTTTTTATTATTATTATTTTTTTTTATTATTATGTATCTTCTTTTTTATTTAACGAATGCGTCAGATTGTTTCTAAATTTACTGAAAATAAATAAAGACAACAATCAATAACATGCACAAACTGTTATCACGCACTCGGCCAGTTCCGCACTCTTATATCGTTGCTGTATTTCTGCACACACAATGCTCTCCCTATACCACTTGACCCTCTTTTCGTAAAGATCCTCTAGTTACTTCGCTTTAAGTAGCTCCTCGGTTTCGGGTGGAAAAGAAGGTGGATAATCGAGATTCATACCCGCTGTCCTTTTCGTGCGCGTGCAACTTATACGAGCACAACAGCACAGGCGCATTGGCATTCTACCACCACGCACAAAGATTAGCATATACCATACTACTTTCCGCGGTCGCCGTTGGCCCGCGCTCTACACTTACATTAGGCCTAGGTGGTCCTGTCTCTAAGCTGCGACTTTTTTTCGTTTCTACTTGATGCCGATGTTCGCAAGCAGATCACGTGGAGTTACGCTATCAGTAATTTATCCTTATTCTTTATAACGACAGCTGTATCTCTAAACAGCCAGAATTTACAATTGATTGTTTAACTTTAAACTACACATTCGCTCTCTACAGTCTAATGTGATATAGTATCGAAATATGGTACTTGTACCGCGGCCGTGGACAACTTTACGCGCCCTCACTGCTGTACCCTATTCTCTTTTATATGCCAAACGTGTAGTACGGCATCAATTTGTTGGCTATTTTAAACTTCTTCTTCATCTAGTTGACAAATCTTATTCCCGTGCAGCTGCAATAGGTGACGCAGTTGCCTACGGACACGTAGGGTTATCTAGGTTGGAAATCGGAAGTTCGAAGCCAGCGGTCTCAAGCAATGTAACTAACAATGCAATAGTATCGAGTGTAACTTTTCCTAAGTAAAACACTTAGATATACAATGTCAACATAATCGAGTATTACGTATGATAACGGTGTTCATATGAAGTTCAGCATGGGTTCACTTGATTCGCAATATGCCCTGTGGCATGCCATGTCTCATTTTCACAATCACTCAACATATGAACCTATCTATAACACAGGATTACAGACCTCTATCCGTATTATTTATGCTCTATGTGTAAAGCACCTTCTCAACCATATTAAATCCTTATACTTGCACGGCCTATGCATATCCATATTCTGCATCAAACATCCTTTCAATTATAAAACAAAAAAAAAACATCTACAAAGTAGAAAAACCATCCATTTTCTATTAAACGAACTTCAACTTTTGCGTTGTCCGTGCAATGTCAGATATGAATAATAGCAACGTGTATGCCATTGTGATGAGCACTATTGAGAATTCGTGCTGTTATTGGCTAATGGTTGACCATTGGAGTCTACGTTGTCGCTGATAATGATCCGCCACGCCTGTCATATAGTGGATTTCACCGAGTGGACCATTATCATCGACCCTGTGTCTGTTGAACCCGGTGCCAGTTTGACGTAAAACTCTGTAACGAGTTCCGGTCATGGTAATTAGAGCCGTTTGCCCGTTACGTATACAAATGCAGGACATTATTATCTTTATCGTGATTTTCCTGTCTTCTTTATATTGCGAATGGCCATAATAATGCCGTATGCTTACTTACACAGCAGTAAGGAAGCGAGGAATTAGCTCTGCACGCGCAACTGTCCATCTGCGCAAAATGGCAGCAGTGGCGGGGTTTTCAAAACGAACTCGAAGACGATTCGACGACAGTGTCAAGACGTATTTGGCAAGCAGTCAGTCCTTTGTCTGGCTAGATTAGGATAAGACATGTGTAGGCCAAATAGTAGTTATATCAACAACGGTGTGCCATTGATGCCAGCAATGACAATGAGCCACTGATGACTAGTAACTGAGGTCCAGTAAAAAAACACTGTGAACGGTTAATGCTTGTGAGTAGGATAACTCTACGGGTCCATTATATAGAAGTGTATTCGTTAGTCGGTATTTTCAATGTTACCAAATGCACCTTATGTTATTGTTGCCTAGTAGCCAGAGGACAGCAGTATTTATTTCATATGTATTGGTCGTTTTCGTGCGTAACAACAAAAACCGTAAAAAAGCTAAGGTACTAAGGACCCGTCCTGTTTCGACTGTGTTCTAGTCGGCTAAAAGAAGACTACCGAATTCAGGACGAAACAAATAACGAAAAAAGTACCAGTAAAACGCTGCTAGCGAAGCGTGTGATTTCTTCCAGTAATACATGATCCATTAGATGACATATAGATAGGTTTAATTAGTATGTGGCTTAATCGTCTCCTATTGAGTTCCTTCTCAGCGGACTTGAAAGCAACGTAACCCAAATGTGCCACGTCCGTCTACCTGGACTAAGCGGCATCATTCACCTCTAACGGCCATACACAGAACGTTGAATGGAAGGCTCATACGAAGCGTAGATAGATCCAGATAAGCGACCGCTATGCGATGGTACAGAAGCTGCATGTAAATGAAACATTTTTTCATTTAGCCAAATGCGAGCTGCCCCAGATAACACAGCGTTTAAAGAAATCGAATCTTACAATATTTTACCATTTCATGGCTCACCCATCATCAATTCCGGACATGATGAACGTACCATGAATTTTTAAGCAGGGGGTAAATTTATCAGCGAGCACCTATAGTGCTCATACTGGGCTTCTTTTTTTTTTTTGTTTTATCTCTTTTCTGCCATTATATAATATGGAATCGGCAATAGGTTAATGTGTACGTTTCAGTAGACGGCTTCGAACAACGGTACGAAACATTGAAACACGACCCGAAAGAGCAGCGACCCCTTTGACTGTTATGAAGTTTTTGTCACTGAAAACGCAGGACTCGGAATATCCTCTTTAGCTTAATTTTAGAAATCAAAGACATGATAATGACTACATTATTGTTGCAAGCTTTTTATCAATTCCGGGTGAATGAATTTGATTTTCCTGCAATTCAACCCTTATGGTTATTTACATCTTCAAACGAGTTCGGCTTTTATTATATTACCCCTTGCAGTGATACACGCTCGCATTCAATAATTGTTTAGGGTTTTATATGTGGTCCAAACGTAACACTGCTTCAGACGGCGTTCAGCTGGCCATAAAGTGGTTATCCAGAGGTCCTGGGATCGACACGTATCATGTTGAAATCATATCATCTTCGGTGGTACAATTCAGCGTAGCGACTGTTCAAACTTTTGGCGGGAAATGCAATTTTCACGACTGCTCCGTGTTAGCATAAAAGCGGCTCGTCTTAAGAAATCCTATAAAACTGGCCGTTTTCACTTCCTACTTCTATTTTTCCTATTGTTTTTCTAACATTTTATTCATGGTTGTTGTATAGTATATGTCCTCGGCGACATGTAAAGCCGCAACCCATGGTGGCTGGTTAACCGCCCAAGCCACAGTTTCCTGTTATATATATATATATGATGGACGTCATGGCTAATTATTCAAGCATTTCTTACGTTCTTTTTCCCTCTTTTGCCATTTTGCCCTAAAACCGTGATCTTCCCACGTAAAATAGTGTACGTCTATCTTTCATCTCATCAGCACTCACACACGCACCCACACACGACGCCATGATCCATCAACGGTCTAGAAGCCTTATTTGAACGAGCGAGCCATCGAGGTCACAATCGGCGATTGCATCATCGAATCGATATATCGATAGCAAAACAATTTGCCGTACCAGTAGCGACAGCGGTCGATCCCAGCGAATTTAAACCGCTAAGCGCGCCAAAGAGATGCGACTACTGTATTGTTTATTGCTTTTTATTAAGACCTTCATTGGCCGGCTCTTTGTTTTTGTGGCCTCTCTTTCCTTGAAGGGACACCAGCAGCAGAAGCAGGAGCAATACCTGCAACAGCTGTCTCCGGGAGCATTCAGCATTGCATGAAGTACAACGATTTGGCTACTGTTATAGTTATGTCATCATTTTTCTTGTTCGTATTTGTGCACTGCGCGATGCTGGTTCAGGCCCCTCACTGGCACCCATCCATTCGGTGAGCTTTGTATCTTCATCGGGCGCGTATACGCAGAGTGTGAGACTGTCCGCGTGTATCCCATAGTGTGCTTTCGTCTCCTTTGTCTCTCACGTTGAGTCGAGGCGATGTCCTTGCTGAGTACTGATGCTATTGTTTACGGTTGCCAGCAACGAGCCAGTGCCAACTACTATGAGAAGCACAATTGTGGCTCCATCACCACGGTGCTCGGCTTATTTACGATGGCCACAAAGACTGAACACACGTCGTATGTGGGAGGAACGATAGTGAAAAGCCCAATACCATGTCTTATACGTACAGACACACGCATTACATTTTAGCCTATACTGGACAAATCCGTCGGGGAGGAAAGCAGACTGTGGTAGTCGCGCGGCTGACGATACGTTGAACTGAACGGGACCGAATAGCTGCTGATACCATGTGAAAGCAGGCATGTATGTGAAATCTATTAGTCATTCGTAAAAGTTGTCGAAAACAGCCACTGTCAGCGTGGACGTTCATGGCGCATCCGATATGCTTCACGGTACGGGAACTGCAAACATTATCATGTTTAAGCCATTGTGATCGTAATGCGCTTGTGGTGTCTTGAAATGTGCGAGTTTCCGAAACGGAGTCGCGTTTGTGTAAAATGAACAGAGTGTTGCGTTGGCTGATCGCTACGCACGGCGCAGCGATCTGACGAGCTCGTCGTCTGGTAAGAGGACGGCTATTCTTTGCAAACGGTATGATTCGCTACGGGAACTCACGTATACTTGCGCGCCGTACGATTCATCGT